AGCCAAATGCATTCTGAATCCATTTTTTGCCACAAACACTGAGGTTTGGAGAGCTCATTAATAACTAATCTTCAGCTTGCATACACAAAGAAGAATGAACTGAGAGCATCAATGGGAAGCTTGGCAAATTGACAGGACAAAATGAATTGATGACTAGAAAAGTGTGAATGAAGCTCGAATCAAGGGTGCAATGAGGCAACGTGTGACTGGTGATTGAGAAAGGAGTGTGTGGTGCTGAGGTGTGGCCAGGAAATCTTGAAGATAGAAATAATAGATGGGGTAGGCTTGGAAGGAAATGGCATGAGTTGCAATGGGTTGATGGAGTGAAAATCAAAATCCAAACATTAAAAAACACCATGACAGTGGTTGACACCTAGTCCGTGTTCAACTTGACAACTGGTTTTGTGGGCGATGACCTTAGCATGCCTTAGTGTGAGCCTTAGTCCAGAGTCATGCACTCTTTCCTGACTGAACTTAGCCCTTTCCAAATTTGACTCTGAGAAGTGTGAGTGGTTGCAATGCAATTCAAGAAAAGAAAGTATATATATCCAGAGCTGGCACTTGTTTTTTTATAATATATTATATATTGTTGAACTGAACAGTAGTTTTTTGATGGTATGTTCAAAGAAACTCCAAAGTCCTGGATATTCCCAAGGACCTTGGCTATAGAAAATATTTATCCAGCCTGGAAGTATGAGTCCTGCATATGTGCAAGGACTGAAACTAAGTGCTCCACTGGTGTTGCCCCTCCCCCCCAAAAAAAAGAAGCACCTGTTCGGTGCTACCCACCTATTCGGTGGAAAGTTAAAAAACATTGCCTTCTTGAAGTTGAAGATGTCTAGTTCCTTAGTGGCCTTAGTACTGCTTCATTCCTGACAGGGCCTGACAGACAGGTGCATCTCAAAACTGCTTCTGTTTACTTTCCAAACCAAACATATCAATACATTTACTCAAAGAAACTCACACAAAACAAGATCATGGATGTAACATGCCAAACTACATTTAACCTAATTTACAATGTCTACATTTGTTTTGCTCACAAAGAAGTTGCTACAACCTAGATCAGACAACCTAGATCAGTAAAAATATATATGCCAAACTCTCTGACTGATGACTTGGTCCAATTTGCCTAGTGTCAGGCTTTAAGTAGCACGACCCACCCACCCCCCTGTTTTGGCTTGACACCTCAAATTTACATTGCTGCAAAGAAACACCATCATGAAGCAACTCAGGGTGTTCAGGAACTCCACCATAAGTTACAGATATGTGGTTTAAGACTCATAACAAGAAAAAATGAAACTATCACAATCAAAGACCAAACTATCACAATCAATGATCATGGGTTAGGTCCCTGACATTCATCTGGCTTCACCAAACCAACATCAGGCTTGGCTGGAACATGTGCAGAAGATTCACCACTCCGTCCGTCACCCATCGAAGTCTTCAGTGTGGCCAATTGCTGGATGATCCTGCTAAATTTGGGGTCAGACCCAGAGCTACTCAATGAAGACGATACATCGCTCCCTGTGCCCGTAGAGGCTGATGATCCAGCCGCAAGCGCAGCAATTGCATTTGGGTCTGTGTTACGCGAGGTATCCTCAGATGAAGCACCCAATGGCCCTATGAAGAAAAACTATTTCTCACTCACAGCGTCATTCAGAAAGACCACGAAGTCAAAAGAGCTTTGGGATTAGTTGAGGCTGGGAACTTTCTGACATGCCTTCGCCTTAAACCACCCCAGGTTGGCAACCTTGTCCTTCAAAGACTGAAGTTTTTTCATCTTCGAGGTGGAAACGCGTTTGAATAGCCTCCGTAGGCGCGAAACCTGAGATGACTGGCTTGTATGTCTTTTTTTGGTAAGGCTTGCACATATGTAGACAACTCTATTCTAAATGTGGCTCCAACAAAAACTAACTGATTGTACAGGCACGTTTTGTTTCAACCCCCAATCTTGCACACATGGTATCTCACTGAAAAGACCCGCTGGGAACAACTTCTCTCTGGTATAGAATCTCAGAATGGCATCCCGAATTGTGTACGCGGAAAGCCTGGAACCTGCGCCAATGGCCACAGCTCCCTTGACACAAGCAACGATTGCCTGAGCTTTGGCAAGCGCTTCACAGAAATGCTGGAAGACCCACACAACCCAGTCAAGGATTTTGTGGTAATAAAGGAAAAGCCATGTTCTGGAATGTTTGAACGCGTCACTTCCTGGTTTGAGACTAGGTCCTTCAACGTGCACTTTTGCTTCGTATAGACACGTCCACTGTGGTCACACAGGAATGTCATACCCACCTGCAGCAGTGAGACCCGGTCATCAACCCAACCAAATACAGATCTACGCAACTTAATGTTCATGAGTTCAATCTCCCAAACGCCTCCCGGAGCTTCGGAGCGAAGTCTTTTGCTAGTTTCTCTACATGCTCAGGGATCACTTCGGCGCCCACATCTTCGGGTTCGGAGTCAGATGCCATGACCCCAGGCCGGTTTAGACCTGTTTGCGTTTCCACACCTTTCCCAAAACAAATGAGCTGCGGTCAACGTATATAGAAGCAAGTACGAAGGTCCAAGACAAGAGCGCAAAAACTGCACTGGTCCATCACTCCAGAAGTTCGCGCACAAAAACGACAAATTCACCATCCCAGATCTGAGCACTTTGGGAGGCACCTGAGGATGTAGCGCTCGAGTGGTGGAAATGAACTCCTGCCTGGCCGCCATAGACTTTGGTCCCCGTTCTACTCAGGGCAAGGTCAAACACCTCTCCAAAAACATACTGCTTCTACGATGGACTATTTGGGAAGCCATTGAAACCATAACTAATTGACCCTACAAGTTTTGAATGTGATTTTATCATCTGAGTTGAGAGCCTATGGCCAAAATTGAACACAATCAGGGATTGTTTCTTTTTCAGTCCTTTTGCATACTCAAACCTTTTTGGTTGGCATGAACCCCAATCAAATCCGCGGCAAACGTCAGGCACACCCTTTCCCTTTAGGACACACAGACAATCTTAGAAACATGCACGTTGAGCAACCTGATATGACACCTTCACATGTCCAACAAACCGCGCAAGACTTTAAGAGTACTAGTTTTTGAGAACCAAAACCTCGAATAGTATAAACCCCAAACCAGGTTGAGGACTCATGTTTTGTTGGGCCTGTGTCCACACACAACTGTAGATCTTAAGCGCGGCAGGCGAACCATGCCGCAAGCCAAGATGAACGCAAGGGCATGCATCGCACAGCCTGCCAGGTTTCGGGCTGCAAATGGTACAAGCGCCTAGCGTATATAGGGTGACAGGTACTTGTCATCACGCTGAAAAAGGTGGTAGCGGAGAGACCATGAAAGTGGTAGCGGAGATGATCGAACAATCAGAGCTGACTTGGACGACCCGAAGCTGATTCCTTGCCTGACTGCCGGGTGTGTGCGCCGTCTCCATGGGGGGCTCGCGGCCCCAGTTCCAAGTAAACAAACAAAAAGCAAAACGGTTGTCGGTGGCAACCTTGACTTCATGAAATATATTTCCATGCGTGGATGCACTGTCAACGTACAATGTTGCGTCCGATTCCTGGAGACCACCAGCTTGAAGACACTCTCAGCAAATGAAGGCGGAAATGAACGCGCAATGGCCCAGCCGGCTTATCACCCAGAAAACATCAGCAATTGAATACATAAGACACACATGGGGCAGGAACATGGGCCTTAACTGTGCTTAAACTGCCGACTGTCTTCGGACAAGTTGAGCACAGACCATTTAAGCAAAACGTATGGTCTTACATCGAGTGACACACATAACACAGGACCTTAGAAGGCACAAACTCTACAAATTCTACCCTTTTCTATTTTCACGCCCCCATGGCCCTTTTTCACGGCCTTACCCTTTTCACGTGTCCAAATGGTTTTTTGGAGGTCAAATGGCCATTTGACCTTCGATCACGTTTTTGGCGATCAAATGGCTCCCCAGGTGTGTCCGGTCGCCATTCCTGCTGTCGGTGCGTCGTGGGAACTTTTAAATGAGTATATATATGACAGTGACACAACGAGCACGACGACGATGAATGAATTCATTAATTTATATGTATGGAGAAAAATTTTAAAGACTCTCGTCGATCCGTAGATCGTTTGACAACTCTCGTCGATCCGTAGACCGTCCCCCAGTCTATTCATGACGATCCGTAGACCGTCCCCGAGTCAGTCCGTAGACGTGACGACTCTCGATCTTAGATCGTCCCCCAGTCCGTAGACTTTGAAACGTGACTCTCGATCCTTAGATCGTCCCCCAGTCCGTAGACTACGTCCGTAGACATGACGATCCGTAGACCGTCAGACCAGTCCGTAGACTTTGTCCGTAGACTCAGATCCGTAGATCGTCCCCCAGTACGTAGACTTTGTCCGTCCGTAGACTCTGATCTTATAGACCGTCCCCCAGTCCGTAGACTTAACTCAGATCCGTAGATCGTCCCCCCAGTCCTTATAGACTGTCCGACTCTCGATCCGTGGATCGTCCAGATTAATTGAGTTTTAATAAGTTTAAAGTCGACGACAACGACGACGTTCTCCCCGCCTGTCGGTGCGTCAAGTCGTCCTCAGCGGCGGAGTCAGTTCAGCGCTGGAGCTGCGAGTGCTTGAGCCAGGCAGGCGAGAAACGACAGCGGGGTAAATTACATTGTTCGACTGCGGCGCACAAGTATTTTAACCCCCTTCATTTACTGCTGTGGTCGAAGGTCATTTGGTTGAGAAACATCGGTATCGATCTAGACTTTTATTATTATTATTATAGAGGTTGACTTGCAAAAACTCATTGAACCCGGCAAACAGAACGATGATATCTTTTTTCAACCTTTTGCCTTTCGTCGTGTGCTCTCGCCGACATGGCGTGGGCCTCCCGTCTCTTTAAAAGCGAGTGTATATTATACACTCATTGCCCACAAGGCTTTGCTGGCAATCTGCGTGACTGATTCACCAGTCGTCAAAAGGGAAAAAAGACAAAACCTCTCACTCTACCAAGGCAAATCGTCGCCTTCTTCCGCTTCGGCTCCCTGGACTTCTTCGTCCTTTTGGCCTGCTCCGGTCTCCTCTGGGGACGGGTTTGCTTTGGGAGTAGCCTTGGGCTTTCCTTTGGCCTTAGCCTTGCCTTTCGGCTTGGGATCCGTCGTGTCTTCCTCGTCTCCGGCGTGCTTCCGTTTGCGGGAAGCTTCTGCAGCCATGGCTGAGGCGTCTGGCCGATAGTACGTGCTGCCTTCTGATTGCATGAGAGACAGAACGAAGTTCGTTAAAATGACTTCTAACTTTGTCGAATGGGCCTCCGACAAAGTCAGGCCGGCGAACGGAATGCGCTCTGCCAAGCACGCCTTGGCGAGTTCGCCTTGCGAGCTGGAACAATCAAGCCTTAGCCAGTCAGTGTTAAAGTTACAGCCATGACCGAAAACTATCATAAAAACGACGGCGATTTAAATTGAAACGATGACGACCTGAAACAAAACCGAGCCGCACTGCCTTGACGCTATGGGCCTTCAAAAAGGACTGGTAGAAGGCTTCTGGCAAAGGAGGGCCGCTGAAAACGCTTTCAGGAGTCGCGTATTGCGCTGGCATCGCCTTCGCTTTCTCCCCTGCAGCTTCTGTGACAGAGAGGACCCGGTCAACGCCCAGAATCTCTTCTTTCTCTTTCCTGCAAAATTGAGGATAAAACAGACAATGAGGAATATGCGTGATCCAAGGAAACGGAAAATAATATAAGTCACATGGAGAAAAATTGCAAAAAACATCAGAAGTCCTGGAGAGGCACAAAAGCTCTTCCGGCTGAAGGGCTGGCGCACCAATGAACACGTCTGCGGTATTATGGCCCCCAAATTCTGAGTAGGCTTTCTCCGGAAGCAAGTTTGAGAAGGGCACTGCAGAAAAGAGATTGGCCACAGACCTGCTTGAGTAGGAGCCTCGAACCTTTTTCTTTCGACTTCGAACGGACTTGTCCGTGAAGACGATCATCAGTTCCTTGTGCTCTGCGTCCAAAGGCGCATCCTTTCTCGCAGTACTAGCCCGAAAGAGTGCTTCTACGTCCTTGGACCTGTCGAACCCAGCGTGCACCATCAACAGCTCGCCGGCAGCAGGGCAGGTTGCCTCATCGCCCTTGCGTTGCGCGTTTCTGCCAATCATGCTGCCGTGGATCAATTCCCGAAGCAGGGCCATGTCAGGGTTGTAGCGCTTCCTCAGAAACGGTTGCTGACAAGGACCTAAGCTCTCCCCCAAAGCGTCCAAGTCCAAGTGGGTCAGGACACAGCTCTTCCCGACTTCACCTTGAAATTCTTGCAGCACACTGGAAGTCCACGAGATCATTCCGTCCAAGGTTTTCGGTTCTGGATTGAAGCAGCAGTAGGTTCTCACGGTTTGGTTAGCCACTGCTTTCCAATAACTTTCCGAACCTTCCGAATGTTGCTGGGGAGGCTTCCGCAGAAGCTCGAGCTCGCACGGCTCGCCAACGCCATCTTCCTTTTCAGCCTCCAGTCCTTGTGCCGTTTTTCGTTCAACCTCTTCATTTTTTAGAAGAGCAAGAATCTTGTTCCATTCCGACGACACGTTTTCATGTTCCATCACTGCTTCTGGGACAGCAGAGGCTTTGCAAGTTGCTTTCAGGGCGTTGTCATACTTTCGGCTAAATACCACGTCCTGAGCAGCTGAGACTAATCGTCACATGAACAACTCAAACCGGGGGATCTTACGCAGAAACAAAAAGCGCCGTGCCTCCAACAGATGGAACGTCGAAATCGCCGATTTTTGCAAGCGAGCCATCCAGGAGCAGTCGGCTTCGCCACGGTAGGCTCTGTAGACGTCATGCTTCAACGTCTTGTCTCTCAAAAGCTGGCGATCGGATTCTGTCATCCCGCTCTTGGGAAGCAGAATGTCGAAAAAGTACTCCAAGACCTGCCAGGGATGTTTAATCAAAAAAGTTTCACAATCATTGGACAACACGAGCCTTCTTTTTCAGCTCAAAGAGTTGCAAGAGACCCACGTGATGCTTGTCGCCGGCCAAAATGCTTTGGTGATGTCAGAAGCTTGCAGTAAGTCATGTTGCAGCCAGTCCCACAGACACTCAAGCGACCAATCTCGCATGTGTGCATTGGACGGTTTCGTCGAAGCCACATGCAAACGGCTCATGTGATGAAACGGACTTCTGGTGCCATAAGCGGTCTCCATCTCTAAAAGGATCTCCACCGCGCGCGGTGAACTCAAGATTCCCTTTTTCATTGCCAGGGCCTGACTTATCAGGTTGGCCGTCAGGCGACCATCGTCTTCGCCATCCTTTCGACCACCGCCCTGCACCGAGGCCAGCCCAAGCTTCACAAACTCTTGCGCCAATTGCGCGGGCTGAAGCCGTCCCTTGCATGCCGGATGGTCTTCACAAATCATTCGAAACTGTTCGATTTCGATCGCGGTTTGCATGGCTGTCCGCGACAAGGATTCGTGGTCCTGTCTCACGGTCTGTCGGCGGTTGAAGGCCTTCACCCAAACACGGTCAGGGTCGTGCTCGGAGTTGGAGTTCAAGATAGACACGGGAATGCTGAGCAAACAACTCTTCCACTTGGCACGCCAGGCCTCCCACTGGCCAGTCTCCATGTCTTTTTGCTTCCTGGGCGCGGAACAAAAAATGACAGCCATGTCATGCAAGGGTCATGGGAGAAAACATATAAACAAGATGTTCCAAAATATATCATGTGCAGCTCCGACACCGAATGGCTTCAGCGCAAGCCGCAATCATGCTGTGAACGAGTTCCTCGGGGGAAATCATTTGCAGGTTCTGTGGATTTTCGCTCAAAGACAGTCTGTCGGCCCAGACTTCGACCTGCCGGCCGGTCATGTAGTTCGGCTCTGAATTGGGGTAGTAAAAGTCCGACATGTCGAGGACACGTCTGCGACTCATTGGGATGCCTGGGGTCGGTGAACTGAGCGCATTCAAGGAAAACAGGGACGGGCAGCAACGGTAGACTTGGTGTACCTCCAACGCGTTCTTGCCTTTGTCCACATTATATGGTTCCTGCACCCCTGACAAGGACTTGTCCTTCTCAGTGGAAGACAGAGGAAGCGGCGCTTCCTTTTCCAAACCCGGATACTCCTTCAAAATTGTCTGCAAGTCCGACTCGACGGCTGCGTAGTAAGCTGCGTTCGTTGGGTCCTTCGCTCTCACTGCCTCCGACAACCCTGAGGCTGCTGTGGTGGAAGCAAGCTCCTTCCGCTTTTTCCCTGCAGACTTTTCAGCCGCCGCCGATGGTTTGGAAGCTACTTGGACGACCGCCCTGGTTAGTAACTGTGACTAAGACTTATATTTATTTAGATGACTTAGATCATAGGTTATATTT